GTAAGGGCTTTTGTTTTGCTTATTGTTTATACTCATGAACTCGTATGTGAATTACGTGGAATCAATCAATACGTGAGTATGTGTGTGTATATAACGTGAAAGTTATCGATTTCTTTGATTGATACCTTTTCAATTTTTAGATTCTAAGGAAAGAAGTGAATCTTCTACACCAGAAGAGCGATAAGAATCAGAGTAACAATTATATTCCCTTGCCTGCTCTTTTCTCTGTACCAGATTTGACGTTATTGATTATTGGTTTCACTTAAGTATTTGATGAGTTTGAACGGAATCACTGTTCTATGATGTACTCAATTTACATTCTAAAATTATGTGTGTTTGTCAGGTTAATCTGATGCATTTTCTGGTTCTTGCTTGCATGTTATAAGTATTGTCGTGTTTCTTCTGAAAAATCACAAATTTTCAGTTGAAAGTGAAAGAATTATTTAAGTGCTTGTGCAGTTCAAAGTGAAATAACAATTCAAATTGTTTAATCTGATGCATTGTGCAGATTAATTTTGAGATGATGTACCTTCCATTTGACTTAAGCCTTTTGTGTTCACGAGTCTCTTTTAGCTTAACATCAGTTTTTGATTGAGTCTAACTTCTTATAGTAGGCAATGGAAGTTGATGATCTTTGCGTATTGATAAAGTACTGAATTCTTCTTGCAGATTGAGCTAGGGAATATCTGAAGGGATAATGTTCGATATGTTTAGGTAAATTACTCTTCTACCCACTTATATTTCAAAGTCAATAAGCTCATATGGCACCATTATTATGAATCTTGACTATACAATAGGAAAATCGGATTTGTAGCTATTTTTATCAACTGACATGAATCGAAAAATCGCAAACAGAATATTTTTTGGATAATCATGTTCATGTCTGCTTTTTCATGAATTCATTGCACAAGTTTGTTGCAAGTTGTTATTGGATTGCCAACTTTTCTCATAACCTTGTTTTTACATAGTCATTTACCCTATATTTCATCAATCTTTACACTTTACTAAATGTGTCTGATTGAAGCACTGGTTTTCAATTTCCAAGAATTATAAAGAAAACAAGGACTGTGATGGAGTATCTCAACTAATTTTGCCGAGAATACATTGATAAGTCAACGAAATTGGGGTATGCCTTTACACGTTTAAAATTATTTTGGGTTTCAAAACTTATGTCATTTGAAGTTTTGCAGATTGTAATAATATCCAAACCTATAATTGGTAATTGTAAACCAGAATGTTAGTAATGAAAGATGATTTAGTTCAGTTAAACAGAAGTAGAACTAGTTAAATACAAATAAGTGCTTGAACTTTCAAGTCGAATCATGTTGACACCTCCCTGTCACTATTTTGCAGACTATAAACTATGATTTGCTAGATGAGTTAGAAGAGATTTTTCCTTTATAAAAGCCGCCATATGTGCAGCTTCAAACTCGGAGATGAGAGACTTGAATTTGCTCTCTGATTCTCTAACTCTTGTCACTCTTCTTAACAATGGAGGTGTGATCAACGAGCTGAAAAGCATTCTATTTGACATTCGATGTTTGATGCGATCCTTTTCTTTTTCTATCAAGTTTACTCATGTATCTCGCAAGGCAAATGTGTCTGCCAATACCTTAGCTAAGGAGGCTTTGAGACTCTTTAGACTATCCTTTTTACCAAAACTTTAAGCGCATTAATCTATTTGGTTTGAACAAAAAAAAGAGATTTTTCCTCAGATTTCAGCGAAAATAATTCGTGATTCCCAGAAAACAAATAATTGACTTTTGCTAATTTGAAGTTTAACATTGAAACAAATATACTACAAAAGAAGATAAATACGAACAAGTTGTAAACATCACAAAACCTAAAAACAGATATATTACAAACGTAGATAAATGTGAACTTGAAACATAACAAAGTCTAATATATCATTTAAAAACAATAAGTTGCATCCTTTCTAGCATTTGTTGTGACTTCTGGGAGATTTTCATTGATATCTTTGTCTTTCTTTTTCATAGTTTCATAAGTTTCTTCTTTGTGAACCTCAACACTATTGATTGAATTAACAAAATTGTGGTTCAATAAAGCATTAGAATCATACCTGTTTTTAAGATCGTTCTCTAAGCATTTCTCTAGAAAATCCATTGCATCAACACTTAGCCAAATGGATATCTCTTGATTTATCTCGCTGTTAGAACTGACTTCCTTCAATTTTTGTATGTCATATAACCCAAGCTCACTCCTAGGTCTTCTACGTGTAAACATCTCAAAATTCCATCTCGTAAAAGCTCCGGAGACATGTATAATAATGTCCCTCGTTTCAACCTTTACCTTGTTTATACCCATCTGAGTTTTTTTCAACGCTAAACCAAAATCAGCAAGTTTTGGCTCAAATCGATTAGACATAAACTTATGTTCGAGAGGTTTAAGCAAGATATTACCTGGCTTGATATCACATTGAATGATTTTTTTTAATGTATATAGCTAATACCTTTGAGGATGTCTTTCGCAAATAGTTGAACATCTATCTCTGCCATCCCTCCTCCTCGTTATCTGAGAATGTCTGCAATACTTCCTCCGACACAATATTCAAGGATCAAATTGTAATTTGCTGCTGCCAAATCGAGTTTTAGTCGTCTTATTTTGCTTTCATAGCAACATATAACATATAAAGATGAAAAACCGATGAGGATTCGTTATTCATTGATAGGACTTGAATAAGATGACATCGGTGGACATTTGATGGCAATTTAGGAAGACAAATCATCACCTCCTACATCTCTATTATTCGTTGCTAGGTAAATCAAACCGTATGAACCCTTGAGGTTTTAGAAGTGAGTAATTTGTAAATAGCATCTTCAAATAGCATCTATAGTGAAAACTAATTACGCAGCAAGATGAGATTATTTCCACAAAGACTATTACTTTCTATATGACTGCTCTCTACAAAATCAAGTCTTGTTCTTGGAAATAAAGTAACCCTAAGAAAATTGAACATCTGAAGAGTTGATTTGATCTTACAGATTATCCAAAGCCGCAATCGCTCAAAACGCTCTGCCGTTTGAAGATTCTTTTGATTATTGATAATCGCAGACGCAATTTATCGGCCCTGTATTGGAGGTTAATCGATTGCCCAAAGCCTTAATATTCCATAGTCAAGTTCTCAGTCTCCGGAGAGTCACAGTGAAAGTGACGATTAAATCTTCTAGATGAGAACAAGTCTTTCCCATTCAAACGTCCATTTATTATTTTTTTTCAATTTATATTTGGTTCAATTGCCAAATTCCTTTTTTTCATACTTTTTTTTTTCATCTGAATATCACATATATTAAACAGGTGAGATAAACCACATACAAAATAAAATCCCTAAAAGAGGTCAAAGATCGAAACATTTGACAATGATGACCATATGATCAAAATACCAATCCTTTATTACAAATTACATCAAAAACAGAAAGCAAGGTAAACAATTAAGTTGTAGATCTACTTGCGTTTCCTACCATTAATCTCTTTCATCACAAGTTTTAGTCACGGTAAATTGAGGCAAAAGCTTACCGCTAGAACTAGAGCTGAAGACAAGCACGCGACCGTAACGAAGAACAGCTTATGTTGCACTCTCAAGAGGCTTCCGAAGTCCAATGTAATTGGGCGCTACCGATTCCACGTACTCTAACTCTCCATCCCACACTAAAACTCCACCGAAACAGAACTAGATCAGAGTTCACAAAACCAAAGGTTGACAGCGAAGCCTACAACTGTTGTAACAAAGACACAAAGCCAAAACCTCCAAAGACAAGTACAAACAACCTTTGCCTAACCACAACCACCGACAAGGAGAGCAAAGCCTGGAAAGAGGAGGATCTAACACGCAAAGGTATCTCGTGAGACCAAAGGCTAGCGCACCACCGCTTTAGATACGCCTCAACCTCTACTACGAGCCTTCCCTACGAACCATATCACACCCGAACCACACCCCTATCCTCACACACCGATCTAAATCTCAACCCATCGAAACAAAACCTCAATCAAACGACCAGCCCCCGAAAACGGATCAAATCAAAGAAGCTTGCGGTTTATGACCACCGTCAAAGCTTGACTAACTCAACCAACCAAAGAACCCAAAACAATGATATGCGGTTTATGACCACCGACATTATCAAAGAACCCAACCATCACAGAACCTAAGAAGCAAATCCCATTGAGATACTAACGAACCGACAATTCTAAACACTCCAACACCAAAACCTCAATACGTGACCACAGAAGACACCACCACTAACCGCCGTCAACAACACACAACTGTAAATCACCATCAGATCTGCTCCATCCATCACGATCCAATCACAGAAATCCCGACTCACAAGAGAGCTCCACCGGAGAGACGACGACGAAATCAACTCTAACCTAGCCTCCACTCAAGTCGAGAAAGAGAACCAAACCAACCCGTTGCTAACCCGATGAACCACCGTGATAGTAGCCGCCAAGAAGCACCGTCACCGTAGTCAGCCGCCACCAGAAGGTTTCTTTCAAGAACCACCTGCATCGAAACAAGCGGCCTTCCTCAAAAGCATCTGATAGTTCAAATCCCCTAGAAACTTTACGCCCCTACACTTGGACGTCCCGATCTACCAGAGAGGCCACCACCACCAAACCGCCGGAGAGCACGAGAACTGAAACTATGAAGAGAGGCTCATCATGTGACACCGGGAAGCGAAGCCGAAGGAAGCATCGCTGAATATTATCCTCATCAGATCCGGATCTACAAAGCTTACCACCGATGAACGATTGTCCGTCTGCCAAAAGAAAGTCTAAGATTTATTGAGAACCAGAGTAACAAATAAAACTACAAAGCTTTAACCGAGAAACAAAGGATCCCAGGAAAATATAAGAAAAAGAGCAAAATACCGTTAGGCACCATACATCCACTTTAGAAGTGTCAAAGTTCGCGGTTTGATCCGACTGACCCGGTTTCAAAGTTTGCAATAAATTCTGTACGTTTTGAATTAGCTTAATATTTCTCTCAAATTTCATGACTAAACATGATGTTTTGCTCTTTGTTTTCAGAGCCAATGACAACCCGGTACCGTTTGTCCATCACAAGTTCAAACGCAAGATTAATTACTCCGCGCGTGTGGGTGGTCGAGGTTCTATTTGTTCTCTCTCAAGCTGTAGGGGGTGCTTTTGGAGACTCTGGTACTTCCGCTGGTCACTCCAATACAGATGCTTCCCACGCTATTTTGTCTATTACTCTGCAGAGAAGTTGATGGATAAGTATTTGCTGGTTACTAATCATGGTCCTCGCTCTGGTATACTATATTTAATCAGAAACTTCTCGTATGGCTTTGCGTAGCATGTCTAGTTACAGGTGGTGTTATTGGAGCTATCCGCAGATCCGATTGATGTTTGCATAGCTTCTCTCTTCTTATCATACTAGATTTTGACCCACGCCAAGCGTGAGGTTAAATACTTAAATATGTTTTCTAATCGATCTTAATATTTAAAAGTGTATTATAATATTTATAAACGTACAAAATGATATGTATTGTGCATAAATGTAATAAAATTAAATTTTGACCAAACATATTTTAATGTCATATGCTTTGATCAATTTTGCATAAAAAT